GGGGCATCTTCCGCTCCCGGATTCCGTCGAGCTAGCGGAAGGAGGGAGGCTGAGACGAGGTCGCCGGTTCCATACCGCGAGGGCGCCATGGATTACGAGCCACCGAAGCTCTGCCATTGCAATCCGCCAAGGAAGGCGCCGAGGTGGATATCGTGGAGCCGGCAGAACCCCGGCAGGAGGTACTACGCCTGCGTCCATGCGCTGGTGAGCTCCATTTTCCCCTCCATTTTCCATCTGCAAGTGTCTTTCTTCTGCCACTGCTTTGTTAATCTGATTCATTCCTTTGTGTTCATTTTGATAGAATGGTGGTTGTTGGTTTATTGAGTGGCATGATGATCCACTGCCCAAGTTTTTTTTCTGATCTGATTGGAGATTTAAGAGATGAAGTTTGGAGACTGAAGGGTGCTAGGACTGAAGATGAAGTTGAAGAGCAAACAATGACTGAAAGTGTGATTCTGGCTCTGCAGGAACAGTTGAAAGAAAAAAGTGCTGAGATAGATGCAGTGAAGAGCAAATATAAGACAATTCTGGTTGTGTTTGCTGTATTTGTGCTAGGTTTAGTGCTAGGAAAATTTCTAGTGCACTGAATATATGGTCAGGTTGATCCTTGTATGGAGAAGGAGAATGGTTGGTTAGTGTCAGTTATTGCTGGAACTATGTTGATCCTAGTAATGAAGTATGTGGCTGGAACTATGTAGATCTATGTTGATCTAGTAATGAAGTATGTGGCTGGAACTATGTATGACATGATGATCTATGTTCATCCTAGTAATGAAGTATGTGGCCATTGTGGCATTATCATCCAATTTGTGCATTTGCCTTGTTGCTTGATTCCTATCTTGAATAATGAGCATAGTTTTGTTGACAAATGACACAATTTATGACATGATATGTTGGCAGGAGCATCTTTGCAACAACACAAAACTGGATATGTTGACAAATGACCAAATATTTCAGGCATTTTCATTTCAGACATAATATTCCTGTTTGCAACAACACCAAAAGGATTCAAATGTTTGCAACAGGAAATGATCTATGATCATGACAAGCACATAGTTCAGTGCATACTAACAGGAAATGATCTATGATCACCAAAAGTAGTTTTCATTACATGGTCACTAGCATAGAAGACATGCTCTACTCATTGCCACTAGCATTGAAGTACTTATAGATTGGTAATGAAGATGTTGCAGCTCTCTTCCTCGTTGCCAGCAGATGTTCCAGCTTGTGCAGTTGGAGTTGTTTTCTTGGGAGGTTTAAACTTTGAAGCAGTTCCAGCAGTTCCACAAGTTGGGGCTGATCTTGCTGCTGGTTGAGAAGTAGGTGCACTTCCAGCTTGTGTAGTACCAGCCTGCAGTAGATCCATGTATTAATTGACAGGTACTAAACTCATCTAAAATTATTTGAAGGCAAGTTAAATTACCTCAGTGCTTTTTCTTTTCTTGGTTGCCTTTACAAGATGTGCATTTTTTCTTGCCCTTCTCTGGATTCTTCTTGCAACCAGACTTGTTGTGGCCTTCAGTGCCACACATTGAACAAACAATAACAGTGCCATGTTTGCTCATTTTTTTACCAACTGGTTTCTCATGGTATTCCCTCCTCCTAGCATTTTTCTTGGGCCTGCCTGGCATTCTAACTTTAACATAATCAGGAGCTTCTGGCCTAGGTTTTTCAGAAATAGGCCACATCTCCTCACCTTCCACAGGTTCCAAGCAATGCTCATAAATGCTCATGAATGTGTCAATGCTATAGCAAGGATCAATGTAATCTTCCACTTGTTTCCCACACTTGTGTATTGCTGTTATGGCATGAGAACAAGGAAGACCTGAAAGTTGGAAATAACCACAAGAACAAGTTCTTTTTTCAAGACTTACAGTGTATTGCCTTCTTCTCTTAGTTACCAGTCTCACTTCAAACCCATCTTTGCCATTCCAAAGGACCTCCATGAACTGTATTCTTGCTATGCTGGCTTTCAACTTTCTGAATATGCTAGGGCATATTTTCCCATGCAATTTCACACCTTTGGCCCTTTGTTCTTGAATTCTAGCAAATATTTTCTTCCTTATTTTCTCTAGCATGGAAATTATTGGATAAAACCTTGCATCCACAATTGCATGATTGAATGATTCACACAAGTTGTTATCCACTGACTAACAGTTAGAACCAACTGCAAAATATGCCCTTGCCTAGTGCACTGGTTCTGTTCTCATGATATCTTTTGCACCCTCTGGTGTTTCTTGTGCAAGCTTGGCTTTATAATAATTGAAATCTTGGATATTTGCTACTTTGGCAACAACCCAGAATTTCTTCTGCCACTCATGTGCCCTGTGTTTCTTCCTCCAGTTGGCATAGATGTGCCTAGCACACATCCTGTGCTCTGCTTTTGGAAGATAGTCATTCATGGCATTGAGAATTCCCTTTTGCTGGTCAGATATGAACATACAGCCATCTCCATTGTTGTTAATGTTCAAATCTTTAATGAGCAAACCAATGAACCATTTCCATATCTCATTTGTTTCCTGCTCAACTACTGCCCAAGCCAGTGGATACATTTGATTATTTGCATCCCTAGCTATAGCACACAACAGTTCCCCCTTCACAACCCCTTTAAAGAAACAACCATCTAATCCTATCACTTTTCTACAGCCAGCTTTGAATCCTAGCTTGAATGCATTAAAGCAAACATAAAAGCTCTGAAATACATTGTTGATATTGTCAGTTGGATCCAAACAAACTGCCACTGTACTTCCAGGATTACTTCTAAGAAGCTCAAGCTGGTAATCAAACACTCTGGTATATTCATTCTTCATGCCATCTAGCAATTTATCCATCACAAGCTTCTTTGCATGCTTGCACTTTGAGGTGGACACATCTGCAAACATATCTTGCAATACTGTTGCTTTCATACTCTCTATCTTCCACATGGGATTTGCAAGAATGAAGTGCTCATACCTCTG